AGAGGAGTTAATCAAAGAAAGAAAGCTGTATGTGCCTCTGAAATACAGACTTCTGCACATGGTGGATACTTTTTAATGATAAAGGAGAGAAACATCAATTAAACCACCTAGACATGCAGACCAAGAACCTTAATCAGCTTATAAATAACAGTATAATATTCTGCGGCCATTTATGTTAACTGCTTATAATCCCCTCTGATTCTCTTAATTACTCCATGTGTAATGCAGGTAATGATTTATCATTTCTTGACATTTATTAAATAAGACATGTTCTGTCTGTTTCTGTATCCCTGCTTATTCTAATCAAGGATGACGGATGACTGGAATGTCTAGAATGTCAAGGTTAATTTTCACAAGCCTCTTATTGTTTTGCAGAAGCCACGTTTGCAGGTTCACCACACTTTTGGTTATTCGAACAGTAAATTCTATTGTTCTAAGGTTGGACTAGATTTTAAAGGAAATGCTGTGACCATAACTTATGTTGTGTGCTTTTCTTTTTTTTCAAATGCAAAAACTGGATAGACTGTATTGTTGTAAATAATCAATTAATATATGCACTATCAAAGCATCTGAATTGAAGTAATTGCTGTCATTTAATTAAAACAGAATAGAGCAAGGAGATACAAGGAGAGTCATAAGTAAAAGACTCCAGAAAATTCTAAAGAATATTATATATCATTTTCAACTATTGAATTTCTTGCTGAAGATATGATATGTAATTAAACTGCTGAACTACTTCCTACTTCCTGTATAATATGAGCATTTCTAAACACCAAAAATAATTGTGTGCATGTAAGCGTAACACAAATTCTATAAAAGCGCTGATTGTGTCTTTACCTGTCATGAGTCCAATGGCTGTTTTGTGTCCCAGTTCCATCATTGCAGTAAAGACAAGTGACTTCACTCGCTGTTGCCCCGCATTGTGTGTCTTCCCACGCTGACAAGCAGAGCGGAGGGTGTCCACATGAAGGGGAAGGGAGAGAACCACGAAAGGCATGAAGGCCTTTTTTTCAGTCATGAAATGGCATTATCAGAATGGGGCGTATCTTTTCTTGAGGTTCAAAGTGTGCGGTTCAAGTGACTTAATACTGCTATTCTGTATTGTAGGCTGTGGCATGTGGGCCTGGTGCTTCACGTCAATTTCTGTGGGAAATCTGCTTCTGAGAAGAAATCAGAAAAAAATAATAGGTCAGTCATGCTGATCCACTGCCTATGTGCATGTATTGACAAAATTAATGCAGCAACTTCTCAGTGTTCAAACAGATTTGTGCACCTAAAATATTAAAACCCTTATGTGTATGTGTGTGTGTGTGTGTGTGTGGGTGGGTCAGATGTCCCCACAATGTGATAAAAACCTGTTATTTTGACATTGTGGGGACATTTTTTTTGGTCCCCCCCAGGGGTTTTTTACTCATAGAAATGAATGGATGGTCCCCACATAGATATGCGTATTGGTCTATTTGTGTGTGTGTGGGGGAGCAGTTTGCATATATCAGATTTGGGGACCAAAATGTCTCCAAAGTGCGGTAAAACCTAAAACTTCCATACTTTTGGGGACATTTTTCAGGTCGCCATTTGAATAACCTCAGTTTTTTTTAAATCTGTAAATGGTTACTTTTGATTAGGTCTGGGTAGGGGTATAGGTCATCGTGATTGGGATGGAAGGTCCCTATTTAGATAGGTATACCAACATGTGTGTGTGTGTGTGTGTGTGCGTAACAGATCGCCCTGTGATTTCCTATCCAGCATATGCCCAGATGTCAGCATCAATGTCACCCTTGTATATGCCCACCATGCGTCTGGTCACACGGTGTTCCTCTCCACCTCTAGCTGATGATGGAAGCCAGTTTAAAATAGTGATGCCTGACATGTCTTCACATCCCCTTATGTCACCCATCTGTTGTGGTGTACTTATGTGTTGACCTCACTGTACATGATACAGTATATGCTTCATATAACATTTCACTAGGGCCTCTTGCTGGATACTACCTGTTGCTGGAAGGAGTATCTCACTCTGTTATTGTACTGACTTTTTGTTCAGCAGTAGAGACATTGCAATAAAAGTAAGTTTTATGTGAACTTGCTTAATTTTCCTATCAGTCAGGCACAGAGGAGGCAGTGTAATGGTTTAAGGTTGTTTTTGCCGATGACAGAGTTGGTGATCTTTACCAAATTCAAGCCAGTCTCAAATATGATGGCTATCACAGCATACTTCAGTGGCACGTGATTCCATCGGGGAATTTTTTGGTAGAAAGCAATTTTTGCAGTTGAAGAAAACTAAGAGCAAAGTAACACGCAAGCACTCGAAATATCTGGGAAGACTGAGAAGAACATGGTGGATAATTTTTGTACCGATTTTTGCCTGCTGTTCATGAAGCAGTTATCAAAGAAAATAGTGGCAATTGTTACAAAGGCAAGATTTTCTATCTTAAATGCTACTTAGGCACCTCAAATTTGTTGTGTATAGTACTTACAGGCTTTTTGAATTCTTTCATTTTCAAGTATTTTAAGAAAACGTTTTCGAAAGGAAAAAAAATACTTTCCAGTACTGCGCTCGAACTTTTGACTAGTACTGCACCTTTCATGCGTAGATTTTTCCTAACATGCTTTTATTTACATTAAAGAACACTTCTACATTAGGACATTTAGTAATACGTAGCGGTATCCCGTCATTCAGTTACTAAACTTCATTTCCCATCGTTCCATTTACGTTTCCTGAATTTACGTAACGCGCACGCAAAGGGCCTGGGCGTAGCAATGTGAAATATCTAAGCATCAGTGCCAGCCGGGTTAACTGTTTAAGTCAAGGCGGACAGGGGATTGCTAGTAAAGGTATTCGAATTATCAAGCCTCTGGCACCGGGGCCGCATTCCGGAGATATGGGAGATCAGAAGGTAAAATGTCTTCCGAGATCGCTGCATATTAAGGGATGTTTTTCTTGCACAAAGATATAGTCTAAGTAGGAGTGTGAGAGTGATGTTATTGCCTGCATGTCCCCTTACATCACTGTCGTGTAGCCTAGCGTCCTGTGAAAGGATCTGCTTGTGATTCACAATGAGTGCTTGTTTATGTGTTTTGGAATGGATGCATGCCGGCGCTAAGTGTCAGCATCGCCGTGTTTTTTTTGCAATGGAGGCAGGCAATGGAGGTAGCCTGCCATTGTGCGCTCCACTGCCCGGAGCCGCCAGCTCTCGGTTCATACGTGCCTGCGAGCCACACCTGACTTTGAACAGTCTCTCTGGAGATCAGGTAGAACAGAAATAGGATCTCAGTCTTTCGGGCGAATACCTTCCTGTGATCAAGGGGATGCATTTACGGCCCCCCCAACCCAGCACGGGCAGAATGAAATTAGGGTGGAGCGTAGGTAGGTCTGTTTGTCCCCCTATGCCGATATGTCAAAAGAGGCCTGGTTTTGAACTGCAAGGACTCCCGAAGCATGGCTTCATGTCAGAGTCTAGGTTAATGTATGAGGCTACCTGGGCGTGCTGCTTTTTCGTTCATTTTAATTGCTGGGGATGTTCCACGAAGCAAGATGTGTCAGTTAGCTCGGGTAACTTAAGCTAGAAGTCATGATTGTCCAGTAGGAATCCTCTTTGCTTAGCCTTATTGGACAGTCATGACTTCTAGCTTAAGTTAACCCAGCTAACTGAGAAATCCCGCTTTGTGGAACACCCCCCTGCCTGACTGATGCCTTGAAGCATCTCACTGACTGAGGTCCTAAAAAAAAATTCAGTATTCCCTGTGGGAAACCATTCACAAACTGGGATGGGCACCTCTGCTAAATGACAGGTGCCTTAACTGTGAGGCCTATTCAGATGTCAAACTCAAATCCTGATGTTTTGAGTAAAGTTGTGTATTGGCTCTTGCACTGCTCTATTCTCAAAAGATGGTTGGGACCATTTAAATTATGTATCTTTCATCAGCTTCTTAGTGCTATATAGGATAATGAGTTTGAAATTTCAAATGCTCAATCAGAATTGTTTTGGTTGTTTAATAACTTCAAAATAAATCAAGAAACTGAGCAAATGGTGATGTTGTATTTCCTTGGAGCCTTCTGTGAACCGCGTTGAGTGCTTTTTGCCCCCTGGGCCTGTGTGTTATTTCAGGAGACTCTGAGAAAGATTTCCACCACCCTGGCACTGAAGAATGAGGAGATCCAGAACTTCATCTGTTGCCTGAAACAGGGCCTGGAAAATCTAGAGGTAAAGCGGTCTGGAAACCAGTCACCAAAGGGTTCACCAGAGCTGGTGATACGCTGGCAGTTTTCGTATCACTCAGTCAGAGAGAAGTTATTTGATCATATTTATCTATTGTCTGCTCTATCTATCCTGCATCGATCAGGACATGAAGAGGGTGGCATCGTTATAGTCGGTGCACGTGGTCAACACTCATGGTGTCCCCCCTGCCTTAGACTCTGGTAGCTTTGTGCAGATGGTTGCTCACAGTGGACGTCAACCAGCATGTTCCAGGAAGTGTCTGTCATACGGGGGTTGCTGGTATAAAGTGCTCTGCAGCTCGTGGCCCCCTACTTGGCATCGTTTCAGAGAGGATATGGGAACCATCTTGCATGCGAATGCACACCACTGTTTATTCGCAGTCACGGTAGAGCTGAATATGTCCTGTGTGTCACTGAGAAAGCCAGAGGCACCATATCCTCCAGACATCGGAGATTATTATTATTTTTTTAATATTGATTAAAAATTTTGATTTGATAGGGAGAGGAAGTTGCAAGGTCGCACCCCCACATATGATGTCATCTTAAAGCCCTTACTGTCCTCAATAAGGAACAACAGGACTCCGAGTGACACGTGCAGTTTGAGATACGTGGGCAAAAGTTTAATGTCCTCTACAGAGGAAAAAAATCTTTGGTCATTGGTGATCATCATACGTCATCAAGTTAGTCATTAGTAACAGGTTTATTCAAAACTTCACGTGAAACAAATTAGAGGGTTTGTTTTTGTCTTCAAAATGTTTGTATGGTGAGTTGAGGTTGTGCCACATCTGAACATCTCCTTCTCTCATCTGACCTCACCTCCTCTCCCTGTCTGCCCCAGTCCAATTCTAGCCGGGTGCAGGAGGACCTCGAGTCGGAGTTCAGCTCCCTGTATGCAGTATTGGATGAGCAAAAGGAGAGCATGGTGACCAGTATCAAGCGGGAGAGGGCCAGCCGTATCTACGAGCTGCAGGTGAGAGTCCCTCAGTCTTCATGTCCATAGGGCTGAGGAACAGGCAAGAACCTCCATATAAATCAGAAGTTGGCACGGTAACAAAAGACAAGAATATAATATAATAGAATAGAATAGAATCCTTATTGTCATCCTACAAAGTACGATGAAATTGGATGCAGTCCCTTCAGTGCAAATTAGGCATTTAAACGTATGTACAAATTGAATAAGTAAATAAATAAAAATATAAAAATAAATTTCAGCACCAAGGCTAATTTGAACTTGTGAATACAGTGACGTAATCTTCAGATGAAACAGTTCCATTACAACACATTTGATTCTAGTCTGAGCGAGTAAATTCTGTAAATTTCAAGGAATATTAAGTGGAAATTTGGGGATACAAGTGAAAAAAGGGGGGGGTACAAGTCAAGAGATGAAAACAACTGGTGGGGAGCCACAGAGGTACAAGTTTCCAAATGTTCCTTCAGCACAGACAGACTTTTTGTTTCCCGAAATGCTATCAGAGTCAGCTGACGGCCTGCACCAAAGCTCTGGAGAGCTCAGAGGAGCTGCTTGAGCTGGCCAATCAGGCGCTGTGCTCTTCCGAGACCGATGGCTTCAACCAGGTGGGCCCTGTCTTTCTGTTGCAATACAAGTATGCAGATAAAACTGAAATAAAGAAATAAATAAAACATGCCTTTTGTGCCAATTAAAATACCCTGTTAAAGATTACCAGTGCAAAGCACATTCCCTTTTTTCCCCATGTTAGCTTAATGCAGTGATGATGTAACTCTAACCAGCTTCCAGCCAGCTTTACAGTTGGCGTTACCTCCACTGAAACTAAACCTACTTGTAGGAAGGATGGCCCGGCTCACGTTACCTTTGTGTGTTTGGACACAGTCCCCTACTCCACTCACCCCTTTCTCTCTTCTCGCTCCTCCCTGTCCCGCGTCTGTCTCCTCCCTCTGCCTTTTCCCGTTTCCAGGCGGCCAAAGAGATTAAGGATAGGTACAGTAGTGCCGTCCACACGCTGTAGCACCCTAGCCCGCTCATCCCGTGTGTGCTCTTCTCACTCTTTTTATTTATTTACTTATTTAAAACCTGTAGTTGTTCAGATCTCCCCAGGGGTGGAAGATGCTTTGTTAAATGTGTCATAAGTTTCTGTCAGCTTGGGCCTGGTTTTGAGCCCTGATTTCATCACCTGCTGACTGGAGTTGCGGGTGACTGTCTTTGTAGGGTGGCGGTGATGTATATTTCTTGTCTGGACGCCCTTATTTCTAGACGAATTCTGGTTTGAATCAGTAATGGAGCTGGGGTAGATGGGGAGTTTCGTAGTTTATTAGTCCTGGCTATTGAGTGCTTTGCCACACAGGGCAGTTTGTCACCTCTGGTTGATCTGGAGAATATAAAGAAACTGTACTCCTTACGTACTCACATACCTGTCATGTACTAATCACATACCTGACACGTACTCATCACATACTCATCATGTACACATCACATACTCGTCATGTACTCATCACATACTTTCTCATTAGCAATTTGCTGTGTTTGTGTGAGTTCCTCTTTAGTTTGAGTTTTTGTGTCTTGCTGTTATCTTCTGCGCTCCATCTGCATGCAAGGTCTAGCAGCTGTGTGTGTATAGTCTGTAGTGGTTTGATCGACTTTGATTTTAGATTATTGTGGTTCTGTACTGTAGTGCATGGCGTGCCGTGGCAATATCACGCTATTTGGTTTTACAGCCTGCGTGTGTTTATGTATACAGTGTCACGATGGCCCCTGCCTTCCGCCTGTCCCTAAAGGCCAAGGTCAGCGACAATATGAGTCACATGATGGTCGACTTTAATCAAGAGAGGAGAACGCTGCAGGCACTGAAATTCCTGCCAGGTCTGACTGCCCAGTTCCCTTGCTTACTTCCTGTTGCGCTGTCTTGTCTCCTAACCACTTCCAACCACCTACCTGCCAGTCTCTGTGCATCCTGTTGCACATGCATCTCGCTGCCTGTGCCACCGGACGTAGAGATCTTCCCAGTCTCGTGTGACAGAGAGCCACACGGTCACCCAGAACCCCACGCTCTGTCCCACAGTCCCCGGCACGCCGCAGATCCTGGTGTCCGAATGCAGGGTGTGTGACAACACGGTGACCGTGATGTGGGAGCTTCCGGAGTATGACGACAAAATCGAGCACTACACCCTGGAGTACCGGCGCACCAACCACGAGGGCCCGCCCCGTGCGAGGGAGGACCACCCCTGGATGGTCGTGGAAGACATCCGTCAAACGGAACACACACTCACAGGTAACACCCCCACAAAGAGATGATGAAACAAATGCAGCAAATGAAAACTCCAGCTCTTCCAGAACTTCTCCCAAACTCTGTGTTTGTGGCATGATAGAAGTTTCTCAGTTTCCTTAAGAGTAATTTTGTCCCAGTACTGAATTAGTCCTCCTCATATTTCAAACTTTAAAGATAAGCAACTGCAGATGTTAAAATTTAGGCATTAACATCAAAGTGTGTGTGTGTGTGTGTGTGTGTAAATATAACATTTAGTTGATGTACGGTTGTGAGGCAAAACAATTTGATCACTCTCATGTGAAACGAATAATGTTGATTATCTCCTAAAACTGCATGTCAGAGTCTGGGATATTTTTGGATGGCAAGCTAACATTCGGTACTTGTAGTCGACGTTTTGAATGCAGAAGAAATGGGCAGGGATGAAGATCTGAGTGACTCTGACAAGGGACAAATCATTATGGCCGGACGAGCCTGCGGGTCTGAGCAAAACTCGCTGTGATTTACTGTGTATGTAATCGCAAGATACACTTTGGGTTGCACCACTGGAGCAGAGATGGGGTTGGGTTTAAAAAAAAAAACTGTAAAGAAATAGCAAAGGAAAGCTGTTTTGCTTCAAGACAAGGGAAAGCCAAGACCTTATATGAAACGTAAAGCAGTTTAATATTAAATTGGTGATAGGGCACCATCGCAGAAATGGGTTTGTGATGTAACTTGCCCTCGGTGCCGGATGTCCGGCCCCGAATTAAATTGGTAATTAATTAGCTAGTTATTAATACTTAATCTGCTCTTTGTCATTGATTCCCATTCGGTCCTGCCGGGGTCTCCAATCTTATGTTACACCACCACAAACAGACCCAGATTCAGGCAGGTACCCAGGCCTACGATCAGATAAAGAACAGACAGCTGCAGGTCCTGCGGTGATGGGCAAACGGGCTGCTTCGCTACCCGAGCCGTCGGTTACTGAGCCCAGAGCCAAGCAGGAGATGGTTAACCAGCGAAGTGTCTGTTTGTGTGTGTTGGTAATTATTACATTGTGGGGACCAGATTTCCCCACAACGTGGGGGGAAAAAAAATCTGTAACTTGTAATGTACCTTGGGACACTCAATTTTATAAGAACTTCTGACTGCAATCAAAATAAATAAATAAAATAAATAAAAATGCCAAAAGTCTTGTATTTTGTTTGGTTACTTATGGTTCAGGTTAGGGCTGGGTAGGAGGGATTAGGGTTACGCCCATAGAAATGAATGGATGGTCTTTATAAAAGATATAAATACAAACCTGTGTGTGTGTTTGTGTGTGTGTGTGTGGTTCCCAGGCCTCCGCTTTGAGACCCAGTACATCACTTTCCGTGTGAAAGCATGCAACAAGGCAGTGGCTGGGGAGTTCTCAGAGCCGGTGAACCTGGAAACGCACGGTGAGCTCTCCTGCCCCTAGGGGGTGCCGTGCGTGTCTTCCAATGCATGTCCTGCTGCGAGATGAGTGACAGACATCCAACTTGTTACAGAAAAGGGATTGTTATGGGTCCAAAAATGACACTGCTGCTTTGACTGTGATAACTCTATACATTTCGGAGGAAGGATGTAATCGTCCGCCCCCCCCCTCCCCCCCAGCTTTCAACTTCAAGCTGGACGCTGCTTCGGCCCATCAGAACCTGCGTGTGGAGGACCAGTCCGTGGAGTGGGACAGCAGCGGGGGGAAGGTGCAGGACATCCGCAAAGACAAGAACCGAACCAACTCACCCATGCATTCCCCAGCGAGGTCCGTAGAGAGGTGGGGGGGGTTCAGTGTCTGTGTGTTTGTGTGTTGGTGTCTAACACAATTTCGATGCCTTTCTGCCCTTCCAGGACCACGATGTCACCGAAGAAGCTCCCCACGGCACGGGGGGGCCGGGACCGATTCACAGCGGAGTCCTACACCGTGCTGGGTGCGTGACTGTGACTGTGACTGCGTGGCCTCCGCTGATTGGCCGACCTGCAGCACATGCAGTGCTGTGGGGTTACTCACTCAGTGCCCGTACTTATAACATCTGTACTCTTCTTTTGTAACTGTTTTAGCAAAACGTGTTACCTGTGGACACAACGGTAAGTTTGCTTTTTGGTGGTGGGTCCCATTGCTTAACCGCTGCGCCCCCTACAGCTGACACTGCAATCGACGCGGGTCAACAGTACTGGGAGGTGTGGTTCGACCGGGAAAGCAAGGCGCTGGCGGTGGGCGTGGCCCTCCGCTCAATGGGCCGATTTGACCAGCTGGGCAAGACCGCAGCCTCCTGGTGTCTCCATCTCAACAACTGGCTCCAGCAGAGCTTCACCGCCAAGCACAACAACAAGGCCAGAACCCTGGACTGTCCGGTGCCGGACCGCATTGGCGTCTTCTGCGCTTATGAGGAGGGTAGGGAGCCCACGCACACCTGCACACCACAGAACAGCAGCCCAATCGGTACTATTCTGTTTTCACCCTTGAAGAAATAGTTTTGGTTTGTCTGGATCAGAAGTTTCTCCAAAGACCTGGCTGCTGAACCACTTGGCAAACATGCATACAAATTTCTTTAGCGACATTTATTTTGTGGTTAATAATATATTTCGATAGAGCAATGACTGTATCACACTGTATCGGTGAAGATCCGTCCTGGGAGTAGATTGCTGTTCCAACAGCATCTAGTTCGTGGTTTTGTTGGTAAATGTTGATCGAGAGGATAACGCTGATGGTTCGGATGCCGCCCTTGCGGGTTGGTCCTTCTGCGTCTCTCCTGTAGGGGTGCTGTCCTTCTACAATGCCAGAACCAAGCAGCTGCTCCACACCTTCAGGACCAAGTTCCCACAGCCTGTGGTGCCGGCCTTCATGGTGAGCTGGGACATGGGCAGGCGAGCTGACTGAGACGCTCCGGTTGTGCCCATCCTCATGGCGCACTCTGTCTCCCCCTGCAGGTGTGGAATGGGAGCTTCACAGTGCAGATGGGCCTACAGGTGCCCACCATGGTGCAAAGTGGGCAGAAGAGGAACAGCGCCACCAGTAGCTCCAGTGCCAGCCTTGGCTAGCCCACGGCCACCAGCTGAGCAGAGCCCCATCCTTATCTGGGTCAGGTTGGGTTTAGGGTACGCACACCCACCCTGGCAGGCTGAACTGAGCTTTGTCCAAATCTCCCATGATCACTCTCCCGAAGAGCCAGAGAAACATGGTGCCATGCCCCCCCCCCCCCCCCCCCCCCCAGTAGAAACTCCACCCCTTCCCGTCTTGTGCAGACTTCCTGTGCCTTTCAGTGTCGTCGAATCATCTCTCAGGCGGGTCGTGCTCCTGCCACGTCATGGTGTTACGTCTGACTCTGTGGAGATGCCACCCTTTACCTCTAGACCCACACCCGGCTCACTAGGACGTTCCCTGGTTACCGCAACCCCTACATGTCTAAACTCACTCTTTAGCCAGCCAGCGCACTGCAAAGCTTCAGCAGAAATAACTCCTTAATTCCAGCACTGGGCACAAGTGTACTTTAAGCCGACGCAGCAGGATGCCGCTGCTCCTCCAAGCTTCACTAAGAACTTCTGCAGCAGTCGGTGAAGCAGACTAGACCAGCTGGGATCTCTTGTCAGCACTGGGGTGGGAATATGTTGCACTGTACTATGTATGTGTGCTGGTTAGTATAACTGTACTATATAAAACACACTGGTATGGGGGGGGGGGGGGGGGGGCAGTGTATTAGAATGCATTTGTTCCAAATTTGATTAAACAAAAAAAATAGGAATTTGTATTTTAGTCTTGGAGTGAGAATTTAGGCTCAGAACAAACTGTTAAAATGTTAGTCGAAATTTGAGTCAACCACAGTCAGAAAAAAAGTACCAGTTTGTAGGTAATTTGTCACTGGGGCTGTACCTTCAAGGGTCTGCTAATTGTTCCATAGCTGTAGGTAAATGTACCTTTTAAGACACAGGAATGGACTGTTTGTACCACTGGGGAACAGAACTGTATACCTTTTACCTGACTGCATGTTCTCGGTCCAATTTCTATAGTCAGAAAGCCATTTTTCTAAACCATTCCCAAGTTTTACTTGAATATTATTCACTAGTTTCAGTTAATGTGAATTGGACTGAATTACATACCGGTAAAGGTGATGGTACCGATTCTGATCCACAGCGCTGTAAGCCTCAGCTGTCCGGAAAACCTGTTTGAAATGTACTGGAAGAATCTCCTGGACTTGAGGTTTTTGCACTGTCTGCTTTTATCAATAAAGTAAACGAGAATGGTGCTGCCTGGCCGTCTTGCAGATAGAATGGGAACAAGTGAGCGTTTCGTACTGCCTACTGGTGCACAAATGTGTTATTAAAGGAAACAGTCAGAGGAGACTGTTTAGGGAGCAGAAATGTAATCTCACGTTTAATTCTTGGGGGGCTGGGAGGGTGATGTCACCGACATGGTGTAAAATGAAAGGGTGGGTGGCTTTGGATGCATTTTCTTTGCATTACTGCAAATTACTGTCCCTGGCTGCTATGTGACGGATGTATTCTAGGGCAGGGATGATACTCCAGCCCACGGCTGGCTTAAACGTATACCGAATGACTCAGAGGGAACACAGACACACACAGACACAGACACACACACACACACATATACATTCTTAGTGAGGATCAGTCTACTGAATGCATCCTTTAATTCACAGTACATACAACATCAACAGGCTTCCCTGCTAAGGCTGTAGGGAGCCTCACGCAGAGAGACAGAATAACACTGGGGAGAGACGTCACATAATCCTACGAGCCTTTGAAATGATCTGTACCATTTAATGTGCAAAATAAAAAAGAATACACCACTCCATGCTGGCTTGGGGTTCTTTCCTAAGGTGTCGATGCGGCGCCTGTAGGGGGCAGTAATGAGCAGCTAGCGCGCTGACTTCTGCTGGAGGAGTTTCACAGCAGCTGGCCACCCGCGTGGCTGGGGTCTGGGAGAAGCTGCCTCTTGATCAGTGCGACGTCATTGGCGTCGGCGTCAGTTGGCTGGGTTTCCTCAGGGTTCCTCCTGATTGGCCAGACTTCTCCAGAGAGAGCACTACTGATTGGTTCGTCTCAGCTCCAGTTTCAACTTGAGCTCCTCTGTTACTGCTGTGGGGTTGGGGCAAACACACAAGAGTCGGGTCAGGCCTCTCAGCACCTGCACACTGCATTCAAGAGAAAGAAAGGATGAATAAATAAACACAGCTCCTGTAACCAGCATATCAAGTGCAATTCTGAGCATCCGACTGACTGACATCCAGGTGAATGGCACAAACCATATGGTGGCTGGGTGACGACATCGCTCACCTTGGGCTAACGAGTCGGGCACTAGGCTCATCTGCATCAGTTGGCCCTCAGCCTCTGAGGCATCTGCCCCCTCGGAGTCTGGGGGTGGAGGCAGTGGTTTCAGAGTCCTCCTGTCAACTCCTGGCGAGTCAGAAGATTTGAGGAGGTCAGGTATTAGCAACCCTGCAACAGGTGGGGTGTTAGAGTGCTGTGTCATTTGTCATCATTTATGAACAAGACCTAGAGAGACAGGAAGTGAGGTTTACCAGCCTCGCTGCAGAAACGCTCCTTGGGGGGGCCAGGAGAGGAGTTATTCCGCCGGGGGAGGCCTTTCCTCCCTGAAACAACCAATCGCACAACCCAATAAAGAAGGAAAAAAAATGCACAGATCTGTATTTGGGGGAACAAAATTAAATGGCGGGTTGAAAGAAGTAAGATGGGACCCACCTGGTTTGGGAGGCAGTGCAGGGGGCTCCAGTCCAGATGGGGGGGGCACAGAGCTGGCCCGGCGGAGGCCACACGGCTCATTCAGGTAGACGTTCTCCTCATGGTCTTCTGTTGGCACCAGGTGGAGCCAGTGATCATGGAGAGAGCCTGCATGGGGGCGCCCAGGGTGAGCATGCAGCACGAGCATGGGATGGTGAACGAGCGTGGGATGGTGAACGAGCGTGGGATGGTGAACGAGCGTGGGATGGTGAACGAGCATGGGGATGGTGAACGAGCGTGGGATGGTGAATGAGCATGGGGATGGTGAACGAGCGTGGGATGGTGAACGAGCGTGGGATGGTGAACGAGCGTAGTGTGGTAACAGCCAGTTTGTACAAGTGCCTCTGATTACCTCTTTCCTGTCAGAGGAAAGACTGACTAGAAGATGTATGTATGGGGTTGTCATGGGTGACTCACCTGGTTTGGGGGGCAGTGCAGGCACTGTGCAATGGTGGGGTGATTGGAAGGTTTGATGCAGGCTCCTTTCGCCGTTTTCATCGTTTGACTTCACGAAGGCTGCAGTGGGGCGTTTGAAAGGAGGCCGAGTAGAAGCCAGTGATGTAATAACTGCCAACAATGTAATAACTGCCAATAACATACAAGTACAGATACTTCCATTCCTAATAATAAGAATCGCAGAAGTCAATAAGGTAATAACTGGCCAATAATGTAACATTTCCTGAACCAATAAGGTAATAACTGGCCAATAATGTAACATTTCCTGAACCAATAAGGTAA